GTCGTGTGATAGCCACTCGACTAGTAATAGCAAATTATTCCGATTTTGGCAGCTTCTTTGATTGAGGATATTGAGCTCATTATTAATCTGCAGTTGTATATCGTCGAATATATACTGATATTTCAAATTTTCTGGATCATCCAGCATGAATAGCGGTGAATTTGTTTCCCGATTCGGAAATTCTATTGCAGTCGCATGCGTTCCTTGAACCTCGTCAATGATAATTCCACCTTTCATTTGATGGGGTTTGACGAATCGACAATTCGAGGTGATTGACTTCCGTGGTGTCCCCTTATATACAAGGGAGGTTTGTAGCTTGTGGACGACGACGTGATTTTCGTATCGTTGGGCGTCAAAGGTCCCAATTCTACGATAATTGCATTCTTTAGTTGGATCCGTCCTATTCCAGAGCACAATACTGGTTTTCGTTATACATTCCCCTGCTTGTACTGAACAGTTTTCTGTATTTTCCAGATCAGATACCAGGCCTCTCCCTTCATCGAGGAATAGTTCACCCTTCATCAATATGAGGTTCGATGTGGATTGACACTTAACTCCTAGCCAACCATAGGAGTATTGTATCTCGTTATTCATGGTCCATTTATTCGGAGAGGTTTGTACCAGGGGAACGCTGTTAACTTCCATTCGAGAGTGTAGCTTTTCACAATGATGTCCATTGCGGAAGTTGTCGTCAAGTCCGAAACTACTGATAATGATATTCTGAGGAATGCTTTAATGCACACCGTTCGAGTAATGTTATGGCATTTAATAGCAGATATTCTCACATGAACATGCGTGTAGACTGTAATTCGAATCGGTGTGACGTTATGAGTTTCAATTGTTTTGCAATTCCATTTCTGAGGCATGTTAAACGGAACACCTGATGTCCATTTGCATTCCTTCGTTTCTGCTGCTTGTAGAATTATCGATATTGCTACTGTTAACAGTAAGTTGGTTAAAACGAAATTTGACTTCTCCCTTTTTTGTAAATTTGTCTGGCTCCGTGTTCGATGAGCAATAGGTTGCTCCTCACCACTTTCACTCGAAATCTTCGTGTTAGTTGTGGTGTTTCGGTTTTGGATAATTGGTTCTGCTCTCTCTGATGGGTTCGCGGGGTTCTCCGGAGTAGACTGTTCTTCTGGAGTAACTTCAAGTGGATACAACGTGCTTACAGGTCGATTTAGAAGTTTTCCTGACGATGTTTCGATCTGAGCGCTCCTGACGTACCCATCATTGGCTACGTTTAATTTCTTTATCCTTGCTAGTTTCCATGTACCACGTGGTGCATGAGGCTCATCTAACAGTACCACTTCTCCTTCAATCGGCCGTCTCTTTTCTACATTTCTTGGAGATTTATGTTCTAATTGGTATCGATCCTTTAAGCTATTCAAGTATTCGTCTTTCCATATCTCCCAAAATGTTTTCAATGTTTCTAGGGTATTCGACCAGTGCTGAAGTAACCTTTCTTGTGTGGTTAGACTATAAGGTGAGAATTCGTCTTCTCTGTCGTTATTGCTATTCAGTATAGACAAAGAAGCATTGGGAATGATGAAGTCTATTGGTCGCAAAATAATTGAGTCGTCGAAATTTACGTAAGTTAAGGGGCGAGTATTAAGAATGCTTTCCACTTCGATAATCAGTGTGATTAGTTCCCCTTCCTTAAGCAGTCGTCTACCGATAGCTCTTCTTAAACTCCTTTTGTGTTAGGCCGATTAATCTTTCGTAGATTCCGTCGCTCCATGGTGCTCTCGGTGTTATAGTCTTACATTTGATTCCTTTCTCAGCAAGGAAATTAGAGAGTTGTGATTCTTGCGTTTTTATGGCTTGAAAAACTGCCTGAAATTGGGTGGCATTGTCCGAAAGAATGAGTTCGGGATAGCCGCGTCGCGCAACAAATCTTCTTAATGCAGTTAGGAAACTTTCCGCTGATAGATCGTCCACCATTTCCAAATGTACCGCTCTGGTGGTGAAGCATGTGAACAAGGCGATCCATCGCTTTGCTTTTTCCAATTGTATCTTCACAGTAATCGGCCCCAAATAGTCGAGGCCAATTCGTCCAAACGTTCTTGATTCAGTGATCCGCTCTTGCGGATAATTTGGCATAGGTGGCAATTTGAATGGCTTGGCTTTCCAGCGTTTGCAACTCATACAGCGGTTTAACACCTTCTTGACTTCAGCCCTTCCTTTCGGAATCCAGTAAAGCTTTCTTATTCTGGAAATAGTTTGAGGGATACCTCCATGATGCGTCGTTTCGTGGTGGTGTTGAATAATTAGTTCTGTTATTCGATTGTGTCTGGGGAGATATATTGTTTGGGATGAGTATTCCCTGTCGTTCGGCAATTGTAGTCTGCTCTGGAATCTCCAGTACCTGTCTGCATAGTGCAGATTGTACTTTTCCACTTCTTCTGCTGTTATACCTTCCGATTGGGATTGTTTTATTAGTAGTTCCGCAGCGAGATTGTAATCCTCGGGTGTAATCGGATTCCTTTCTGATACGCTGCTTAACCAGGTTAATTTTCCTTTAGATAATTTTTTGAGAAATTTTAGTACTCTTACTGTTGTTCTTATCATCTTTGTCCATTTACTGAATCGTTTTGCCTCCAGGAGATTGATTCGATTTGTATTGATGATTTCTTCTGTGGTTGTTGTTGCTACTATATTCTTATCTTCTTCGTTATCCTCTTCTTGTGGAACGTCGTATTCCCAATGAGGCCAATTCGGTTCATTACCATTGATCCATGTGGGCCCGCTCCACCAAGGCTCGTAACTTATTAGACGAGTCGGAATGGTTCCTCTGGTAGCAATGTCTGCTGGATTGTGTTCGCTTGGGATATACCGATATGCGAATTTCGCCATTTGTATTTCTTCCACACGATTCTGTATAAATTTTGATAGGAGGCGAGAGTTGTTTTGTATCCAATGTAGTGCACAGCGAGAGTCCGACCATACCACTACCTTTGGATTTTCTAATTGCATTTGTTTGATGATAAACTGAGCTGCGCGTACACCGATGAGAATAGCTAGTAATTCTAGCTTTGGTATCGTTATTCCTTTAATAGGTGCTAATCGTGATTTAGCAAAGAGTAACGACGTATGCGTATTTTGATGGGCGTATACTACTGCAGCATATGCCACTGTAGATGCATCGGTGAAAACATGAAAGGTAATTTGTTGTGATAAATCGATTGTGAATCGCGGGATTTCCTTGATATGAGTTGGGCGTTTTACCACAAGATTGTTCCAGGTTTCAATCAATTGATTGTCGAGGGGTTGATCCCAATGTATGTTTTTGTCTCCAGAGTTCTTGGAGAAATATCTTGAACGGTACTATCAGTGGTACTAGGAATCCAAGTGGGTCGTATTGTGAGGCGATGAACCGTAGAATAGTTCTTTTTGTTGTTGTTTGTTCGGTCCATGGATTTAGTGTTATTTGGATATGATCCTTGTGTGGATTCCACTTAATCCCTAATATTTTCTTTATTTGACTCATTCGTGCTCGGTCCGACTTGGGTAGTTGCTCATTGAATGTCTGGTCATTTGAGAGGAATTCTCGCACGTTCATTGACGCATCCTTGAAAATTGATTTTGTTTCTTCATATTTATTCAAGGCTTCCTCTTCATGGCTCGCTGATAAGATGATATTGTCGACGTAGAGATTCTTCTTGATTTCACGTGCAGTTTCAGTTTCATAATGTTCCAAATGATAATTGAGAGTTGCTGATAATAAAAGGGTGACGATATCACTCCAAAGGGGACCCTTTTGAATCGATAGCATATTAAATTATCTCTGTCCACCTGTTTCTGAATATCTTTTACCCATAGAAAGCGTGTGCAGTCCCGTTCCGTTGGCAGCAACTCTAATTGTAGGAAGGCTTTTTCGACGTCAGCTAATATGATGATTTTCATTGTTCTTAGTCGAATTAATATTCCAGCTAAATCGGGAAGGGTGATAGGGCCTCGATACAAGACATCGTTTAAGCTTTTCCTGCCTCTGAGGTGAGCGGAAGCGTCATAAACTATTCTGACCTTTGTCGTGGTGTTATCTGATTTTACCACTTCATGATGGGGCAAGTAATGGATAATACCTTGATGGTTTGTGAAATGACTTACCCTTTCGATGACATTGGATCTTAACTGTTCATTGATTGTTTCATTGTATGTGGTAAGTAGATGTTGGTTGCGGTGAAGTCGCTTGATTAACGACTGTAAGCGTCCGAGACATAATTCGAAATTGTCGCTTAATTTGGAACTGGTGTCTTTCCATGGCCATGCGACCTGGTATCGTCCGTCGGATTTTCTAATCGTTTGCTTAAATTGTTTTAAGGCTTCTTCATCGTCATTGTTTTCGGGTTTGTCTTGTATGCCTATTAGTTCCAGTTTCCAGAATTGATCTAAATCTGGAACCTTGATCGTGTTAGCGGCGTAAACTATTTGTGAGGACATTCGTGAATTGGGAGAAATTTTCTTTGTATAGCCAGACCCAGCCAGGATCGGGCCCACTTTAGTGTGGAGCAGTGTGAATCCCGATTGCAGATTCTCTGCTTTGTCGAAATTGATGAATTGAAAGAAGTGGTTGGCTCCTATTAATATATCCGGTTGCTTCCATTCACTGTGGAAATCAATTGTTGGACTTCCTTTGAGGGATCGTATGTCGCTTTCACTTAAGTTGACTACTTGTAGTTTGTTTGTTAAATAGTCCACGGTGTTCGCTTCGAGCAACACTGTACGGTCCTTTCCGATTTTTATCCCTATTTCAATTCTGGTTGTAAGGTGCGTGTTCGGGTCCTTTTTGCCGAATGAAGCGATGTTTAATTTCCCTTCATCTGTTTCGTTAAGCATTAGTTGTTTGGCTAAGTTCTTTGAAACAAAGGATAATTGTGATCCAACGTCGAATAGGGCTAAAGCCCTTTGTTGAGTATTTGGATTAGTTGGGTTGAACACATTTATCTGCTTGCATAAGAGTAGGATGCGCTTGTCACGTTTCTTCTCTTTTTCGACTATTATATTTGTCGTGGTAGTGGAGTCTGGATCCTCTGGTTTTTGGGCATTTCCTTGAATTTGTTAGGGCACAGCGCGGAATTGTGCTGACCCTTGCAGTGGAAGCAATTCCGTTTCTTGTTTTTGCATTTGGCTGCCATATGTCCGATCTTGAAGCAGTTGAGGCAAGCGTTTAGTTTCTTCAGACGTTCCAGCCTTTGTTTGAGAGTGGGATAAATCTGGCACTCTTCATCCCAGTGATTCTTGTTGCATAGTGCACAAGGTCTTGATAGGGCTTTGATGATGGGTTTCTCCGGAACAGAGGTTGTTAAGGCTGAAGTCTCATTAGGATCGTGTCGTGGTCTTGGCTTGCCTTTTATTGGAGATTGATTCTCCATATTCCCTTTAAACCATAGGGACTGGCTTTGTACTACTTCTTCGTTCACAGATGCAAGCTCCGTGAGGAAGTTTCGGAGTTTGGTGACAGACCACGATTCCTGCCTCTTTCTTCTGTAAACCTGTTCTAGGATCCAGGTTGGCAATTTCCCTTCCACAGCTATTTCGATACCGGACTGCTCTAAATTCTCACCGATGGCCTCCAATTGTCGAAGTGTTCGCTCAATGGCCTCAAGCGTTGCTTTCCACTCTCTATCGTTCTTTTTGATGGAGTATAATTCGGTGAACAAGGCTCGTTTGATGGCGTAAGGCTGCCCAAACTTTTTGACGAGGACATTTCTTACGATACTGTAATTCTCCGGAGTTATGTCATAACCTCTGATAGCTTGGAGGGCATCTCCTTTGAGACATGAGATGAAATAGTTTAGTTTATGGATATCGGGAATTGCTTGTTGATGTATAGCTGTATCAAAGCTATTCCAAAATTCCCTCCAGCGTCTTGGATTCCCACTGAATGTGGGCAGTGGTAGTTGTGGGAGATTTACTGTAGGGTATTTACCCGCTTGTGTAGGTTCCTTGGGTTGTGTTGTTTCCTCCCTTACCATCGACTGATTTAGCCGTTGTAATATGAACTCCGAATCATTTTGATACATTTTTAAAATGACTACAGTTTGTTTTGCTTGTAAAATTAAGTTGGTAATACCTGATTCATCTCGTTTATCTGAAGGTATCGATCTTCTTCTTCTTTTCTTTTGGTTGAGACTGAAACCTGCTGGATGAATTGTTTCCACTCTGTATTGACCGATTCCAACGCCTCTATGTATATTTGGATATGCATGATTTTTTCTTGGGTGATCCTTCTCCGTTCCTGATGAAGACGGATTGTTTCGTCGATTGTTGTCGTTTGGTCGACCGAATCCAAGTTCAGACTCTTGATTTCGTTGAGGACTTCACACAATCTTCGTTTTGTTTGGTCTGCGATTCTGATGATGATGGATGACATGTTCCCGGCTCGTGGCACCATAAAATTGTTGTGAATGTATTGAATTGGATTGGTGTTGTGAATGGATTGAATTGGGTTGGTTTACTTGCACAATTGAGTCGAGTGCATTATCTTGGGTAATTAAAACAAACAAGCAATCAGTAGTTTGACAATTTAGTGAAGAGGATGAGCTAAGCAACGGGGAGACTGGTAACAATGCTGGGAAGCATCCCGGTTGAGTGGTAATTGCCCTTATATAGGATGATTTGAGGGTGGAGAGATAAAGCGATTGATACAATGGAAGCTAGGAGGAAGGATATGGGAAAGATAGTTTTTGTAAACGGAATTAGATAACAAACAAAGGATTGGAGCAGATGTGCATTAGATAATATGACAGATTAGCATGGGAATTTGTTAACACATTACCATCTATGAGTCATTGAGGAATTTGAATTACAATAAAACTTACAATAAATGATTAACATGATTTGCTTAAATATAAATACATTGATTTAAATTTGACCTTTTGCTAAATTCGATTGTTCGGTACAAAGATTATTTCTAATGGAATTTCGAGCTTGTTCTCGACATAGAATTTACCAAGCAGTTAAAATTAAGCATTTAAATCAGAAGAAATTTGATTAAATTGGAGGAAAGGTCATAATGTTATTCTGTATAAACAGAAGTCTTTCAAGCCTCATTGTAATTTTTTAAAAAATTTGAATTTCAAATCTATCCTTTAGAGTCTTATCCCTTTTGACATAATTCTGTTCTAAATTTTCAGAAAAAAGAAATATTACAATCATTTGTTGTTAATTATTTTGAAATCCTTTTTCATTTTTGCTTAAAATTTTGCAAAATTTTTGGATTTTCAAGCTTCTTGTCCAAGAACAACTGGAAAATGATCATGGCGGTCCTTCAAATGAAGATATTACCATTGAATATGCAAACTGTCGATCATGCAGAAGTTCAGATAATCAACATTTACTGCTACTCTGCGACGGAAACATTGGTCAAAATGCTGATGGTTCTACGATTCGCTGTAATGTTGCATATCATTGCTACTGCTTACCGGAGAAACTGGAGCGAATCCCGGAAAATGACTGGTTTTGTCCATTCTGCAAAAACAAACCAGAAAATGCACAGCATTTTGTAGAACAAACAAATTTAAATGTTTCACGTTCAGAAGAAGCTGGTAGTAGTAGTTCAAAACAATTAAAGAATGAGACTGATGTATCGAAATGTCATCTAAGCGGATGTTTGGAGCAAGGTAATACGAAAATAGAAACTGGATGCAGCAAAATTAGAAATTTCGAATTAGCGCTTATTCAAGACGCTTATGGTGATTCGGATACGGAAAGTGAATCAAGAGACTATAGTAATGAAAAGAGTGAATTATATTCAACAAGTGATGCAACTAGTGATAATTATGATGATAGCAACGAAATAACAGTCGAAAATACTAGCGGCAAGTTATCATATAGACGAAAATTAACAAACTATAATATTTTGATAATAAGATTACAACTCTTAAAAAATTAGAAATTTTAATACAGAAATAAGAATTACAAATCATTCTACGTGATATTTTACGTTTGCGTGCTATACGTAGATGAAATATACATCGATGCGAACGTACAAATATACGAAATTAATATTTCTTCATTAAAAAACAGACAAGAAATTATAACTAAAGCTAGAATAGGAACAAAAATATCGAATTTACTTATACATCATTAATATATAGGGACAAATTATGATGTATTGGACGACGACGACGATGACGATGACAGTGATGATGGTGAGGATGATGATGATTGGAACGAATCGGATGAAACAGATTCTGAGCAAAAATTCCACCAAGCAATATTTCGCGATAATTACAGACGAAGAAGAGGAATGAAGCGTAATCAAAGAATTACATACCGCCGATAAAGTTCCAGAATTGATGACAAAGATTGTTTACTGTTTGAAGCTTATATTTATTGTGAAAGTAAAAATTAGTATCACAAAATCATTTGTTTTTTTGTAGCAGCAATTAATTTCCAATCGGTCATGCAAAAAAATAGCAGGTGGTTAGCTTTCTTTGCTGCATGCTTTTTTGCTAACTACGCGCAACTGCATGCTTTTTTTATTGAGCATATTTATTGTACATTTTGATATAAAACTCATTGTTAACTATTAATTTTATTTGAATGATATTATTTTGTTTATTGTCTGCTTTTTTTTCATCTTTTTTTTTAAAGTTAATTCTATTTGCTTTAGTAATTTATTGCTATAATTATTGCTTGTGTTGAAAGAAATTTTTTAGTTCATAAATTTTCATTGAAATTATGTCCTTTCATCTTTTTAAAATGCCTCTCAACACAATAAATTTTCCCATTTTTTAAATACAATTTTTGCATAAATACATTTTTTGCATTTGCAAATTTTTCAAAAATTTTCTTCACTATAAATAATCATTTTATTATTGTATCAGTTAGTGTTAGCATAGGATCAGTTAGTGAAGAGTTCGCATAACCACTGGAAATGTTATTCCAACAAGACTTTTTTAAAAAAAAGAAAAAAATGGAATCAAATTGTGCCATATGTTTGGATCAATTAAAATATCCGCTTGGAAGACCTGATAATTGTATGCACAAATTCTGTTTTAAATGTATTCGCGATTGGTTAAAAAAGCGATCACAATGCCCACTTTGTGATGGAGAGCCAAAATATCTAATTAAAATTGAAGAAACAAAAAATGAAACAAAAATGCCAGTAAAAAAAAGAACAAAGGAACAATTTGAAAATGAGGTTATCACTGTTACTAATATTATCAATGTTATGATTAATATATCATCACTATGAAATATTTTAATTTGATTGTCTATATCATTAATTTTTTTTAATTTATTTAACATGATGATTGTTATTATTATAGTGAAAATGGTACTTTGTTTGATTAATTAAATATTTTAAACAATTTTTCCGGACACGGTCATGAAAATATTCCAGTTTACCTTTCTTTATGTAAAGATTCTAGTCTAGGACCATATATGAAATTTTTAACCTAGAATTTACCAAAGCAGTTAAAATTAAGCATTTAAATCAGAAGAAATTTGATTAAATTGGAGGAAAGGTCATAATGTTATTCTGTATAAACAGAAGTCTTTCAAGCTTCATTGTAATTTTTTAAAAAATTTGAATTTCAAATCTATCCTTTAGAGTCTTATCCCTTTTGACATAATTCTGTTCTAAATTTTCAGAAAAAAGAAATATTACAATCATTTGTTGTTAATTATTTTGAAATCCTTTTTCATTTTTGCTTAAAATTTTGCAAAATTTTGAATTTTCAAGCTTCTTGTCCAAGAACAACTGGAAAATGATCATGGCGGTCCTTCAAATGAAGATATTACCATTGAATATGCAAACTGTCGATCATGCAGAAGTTCAGATAATCAACATTTACTGCTACTCTGCGACGGAAACATTGGTCAAAATGCTGATGGTTCTACGATTCGCTGTAATGTTGCATATCATTGCTACTGCTTACCGGAGAAACTGGAGCGAATCCCGGAAAATGACTGGTTTTGTCCATTCTGCAAAAACAAACCAGAAAATGCACAGCATTTTGTAGAACAAACAAATTTAAATGTTTCACGTTCAGAAGAAGCTGGTAGTAGTAGTTCAAAACAATTAAAGAATGAGACTGATGTATCGAAATGTCATCTAAGCGGATGTTTGGAGCAAGGTAATACGAAAATAGAAACTGGATGCAGCAAAATTAGAAATTTCGAATTAGCGCTTATTCAAGACGCTTATGGTGATTCGGATACGGAAAGTGAATCAAGAGACTATAGTAATGAAAAGAGTGAATTATATTCAACAAGTGATGCAACTAGTGATAATTATGATGATAGCAACGAAATAACAGTCGAAAATACTAGCGGCAAGTTATCATATAGACGAAAATTAACAAACTATAATATTTTGATAATAAGATTACAACTCTTAAAAAATTAGAAATTTTAATACAGAAATAAGAATTACAAATCATTCTACGTGATATTTTACGTTTGCGTGCTATACGTAGATGAAATATACATCGATGCGAACGTACAAATATACGAAATTAATATTTCTTCATTAAAAAACAGACAAGAAATTATAACTAAAGCTAGAATAGGAACAAAAATATCGAATTTACTTATACATCATTAATATATAGGGACAAATTATGATGTATTGGACGACGACGACGATGACGATGACAGTGATGATGGTGAGGATGATGATGATTGGAACGAATCGGATGAAACAGATTCTGAGCAAAAATTCCACCAAGCAATATTTCGCGATAATTACAGACGAAGAAGAGGAATGAAGCGTAATCAAAGAATTACATACCGCCGATAAAGTTCCAGAATTGATGACAAAGATTGTTTACTGTTTGAAGCTTATATTTATTGTGAAAGTAAAAATTAGTATCACAAAATCATTTGTTTTTTGTAGCAGCAATTAATTTCCAATCGGTCATGCAAAAAAATAGCAGGTGGTTAGCTTTCTTTGCTGCATGCTTTTTTGCTAACTACGCGCAACTGCATGCTTTTTTTATTGAGCATATTTATTGTACATTTTGATATAAAACTCATTGTTAACTATTAATTTTATTTGAATGATATTATTTTGTTTATTGCGTCTGCTTTTTTTTCATCTTTTTTTTTAAAGTTAATTCTATTTGCTTTAGTAATTTATTGCTATAATTATTGCTTGTGTTGAAAGAAATTTTTTTAGTTCATAAATTTTCATTGAAATTATGTCCTTTCATCTTTTTAAAATGCCTCTCAACACAATAAATTTTCCCATTTTTTAAATACAATTTTTGCATAAATACATTTTTTGCATTTGCAAATTTTTCAAAAATTTTCTTCACTATAAATAATCATTTTATTATTGTATCAGTTAGTGTTAGCATAGGATCAGTTAGTGAAGAGTTCGCATAACCACTGGAAGTGTTATTCCAACAAGACTTTTTTAAAAAAAGAAAAAAAAAATGGAATCAAATTGTGCCATATGTTTGGATCAATTAAAATATCCGCTTGGAAGACCTGATAATTGTATGCACAAATTCTGTTTTAAATGTATTCGCGATTGGTTAAAAAAGCGATCACAATGCCCACTTTGTGATGGAGAGCCAAAATATCTAATTAAAATTGAAGAAACAAAAAATGAAACAAAAATGCCAGTAAAAAAAAGAACAAAGGAACAATTTGAAAATGAGGTTATCACTGTTACTAATATTATCAATGTTATCATTAATATATCATCACTATGAAATATTTTAATTTGATTGTCTATATCATTAACATTATAGTGAAATGGTCCTTTGTTTGATTAATTAAATATTTTAAACAATTTTTCCGGACACGGTGAAAATATTCCAGTTTACCTTTCTTTATGTAAAGATTCTAGTCTAGGACCATATATGAAATTTTTAACCTAGAATTTACCAAGCAGTTAAAATTAAGCATTTAAATCAGAAGAAATTTGATTAAATTGGAGGAAAGGTGAAAATTCATAATGTTATTCTGTGTAAACAGAATTCTTTCAAGCTTCATTCTAATTTTTTAAAAAATTTGAATTTCAAATCTATCCTTTAGAGTCTTATCCCTTTTGACATAATTTTATAATATTGGCATCATTTAGTGTTTGGTGAAAGTACCAATCAATGCGTATTATTTTCAGCGGAAAGATCCATCGTCGTTCAAAGGATATAGCGATTATTTGGGATCGATTATAAAGCTTGTTCGAATGCGACGGAAACGATTGAATTACAGGTTGAGAGAAGATGAAATTGAAGGCAAAATCATCATCAAAGTTGCCAATCTGCTGCAACAGTGTTGTGAATGATTTCAGGTTTTTCATTTTTTGTTTAATAGGAGTATACTTTGGTGTAGTCTTTTTTATAATATAGGTATGTCTACCAAATTTTGAAAACTGAAAAAATTCGATAATTTGTTGAAATGATAGCTGATATTTTGATATTAACTTAACTTCATATTTTCAAATGACGTGCAGTTTATGTTCAGAGAAACCTAACAAACCTAATATGAAAATATATTAACTTGTTAGGTTTCTCTAATCATTTGATTGCAGGGACGGGCAGAGCTTTGGTTTGATTTGATCGGATTTTTGAAGGAAGAAAAAATGTATATCCGATGAGGTAAAGCGTATTTCCGTGCAGTGCAGGCAAGTTTCTGGAGGGAATCTCTTTTTGTAAGGGCAGAATCAAGGGTTAGTAGGCCTTCGTGAACATGATAATGATTATGATAATGATGGTAAATTAGATTGTGAGAATCGGATGAACATTCTGAGCACAAATTTCATCAATCCATGCGAAATGAAGCGTGATCGTGGTAAAGCAATATATACCAATAAAGTTGCAATATTTATAACAAAGACGAAATCAATTTCTAGTAAAAAGGTGACAAAATATCAAGGATTCGTTCCAACACATCGTCACTATTGCTAATAGATCATTTCTATATATGAGATGGTAATTTTTTATAAAATTTTTTTAAGGGATTTTTATCCACTGCATTTGAAAATTGAAAATTCTTTTCTTTACTTTTCAATTTCCCTAGTTTCATTCAGTTCATGTCTTTCGCGCGTCATCTTTTGACTTTTTATACAACGTTTTGTTATCAACAGTCTACTTTGAAATATAAACTTAAAATGACTAAATTATAAGCTTAACAGTTTTGTTTATTTTCAGGCTAAATTTTCTTTCAAATATGCAAATTTTGTATAATGAAAATTTGAAACAGTACAAAAAGAAGACATTACTGTGTTTTACTTCATTATCAAATTTAATTCACATTGATCAGTTGTTTTTCATCAAATTCATCTGATAAGAATATGACGGAGTGTGATATTCAAACACGATCGAATTCAGCAAAGATCTTAAAACAGTAAGTTTTAATTTTAAATTACTTTTAATTAAAGCTTTCTCTACTTTTGCTATTCTGATATTTTGAATGATAAGATATGATTGCTTATGCTATTGCATTTCCTTCAATGATTATCGATAAAATTTAAGAATTCAATGATTTTGGAGAATCCTTGAGTTAATTATAGATTAATCCATTCAGATATAACACAGAATCTCATATTTGATCTAAGTACTATTTGAATGATTTTTCCCAGTCAAAAAAGATTAAAATAAATATTTTTCAGTTTATAGAATTACCGTCAATAGAATCTTGGCCAAACGATGAGTGTAAATTTAAGGAACGTAGCAAAGTGCTAACTAAAATTGAGTAATACATTTTTGAAAAATAAAAGTAAATAATTTTAAAGATAAAATTAAATCGTGTGTCAATCATATATATATATATATACAAATGGTTTTTTTTTTTTTTTTGATTTTCTTCTTTCCATAGCTCTTGTAATTTTTTTCAGTGATTTTCAAAGTTGCAGGCCATTTCAACACAATACACTAATACATCCACTGCATTTTTGCAACACTTGATCTGCTCTAGTGAATTAGTACTATCCAGTGCAGCTGTTATAATCTTGCATTCGCTACAATCCTCAATCTTGAAAGAATTAAATTCCTCATACTCAACACTGAAAACTACTTATTAGAGAGAAAACAATACTTTAGCAGTCAATGCAACGTAAATAGATGAAAAAAGTTATAGCTCTGACGAGAAAATTTGGCAAAATTACCAGAAAGCATTGTGCGAAGGAACGATTCTGATTTTGATTTTGGTATGCTCTTTTCATATCAATCAGAACCTCAAATCGATAAAAATTGGAGAACTCTTTTAAAAGCTTCATGATTGTCTTTTCGATAAAATGAAAATGTGTCTCTATTGTTGAAAGGAATACTGAGTAAAACTTAGGTATATTTTGCACGTTTTATAATAAAATGAAAAAGATTAATAAATCCTAATCAAATTTGCGCGATAAATTCAAAACCAAGAACGATAAATGTTTTCTTGACAATATTTCATGCAAAACACAATAAAATATGATATGATGCAGTATACTCTCAATCACGGCGTAGTTAATGATGGACGCAAGTTAATGAGCAGCTCTCATACTAGAAATACTGTTTTGAGAAATCACATATATGTATATATAAAAGCATTCCTGATTCATACTTACAGATATCACTTAAAATTATTCACGGATTTCGCGACATTTCCTAATTCTAATTCATTAAAATGTTTGTTCAGAAAACAGCATCAATAAATGTTGTCTGCATTGAAACAATGTAATAATGCAATAGTATAAATACAAATAGACATTTTTGTAAGCAAATCAGCAAAAAAACTGAGGTAGATAAACCACAGCTTGACAATTTTAGAAATCAAACTCAAAACAACAGATGAGAAAAAAAAAAAAAAAAAAATCTCTGATGTTACAAAGTATATAACTCCTCACATCGGAAATAGCGACTGATGTGTTATCAAACATACGAGTTTGTTCAAAGATTTGAGTTTGAGCAATCATTGCTTGCGACAAAACTGACCATTTGTATAATTTACATTTTTGTTCTCTGCCTAATTTGATTCCTTAAATAATACTTGCATTTCCCCGAGAGCAGTTCTAATCCTATCTCGTATTTACTTTATACACTAAATATATACACTAATTTCACTTCATATTTGCTTCACTATAATTTATAACTTGCAATCTTTGTGCTTTAAAATTAAATTCATTAAAATAACTTGTACTTTATACCTGTCTAATAACCACTGATAACATATCATCTTCAATAGATACAGCTAAATTATAAACGAAGGAATGGTCAAACGAAACGATTTCACTAACGTCATGTGATTGACCCTAAATGACCTTTTGTTTCAAATATGTACTATCCCTCCAATATGCTTGGTTCTAAAGAACCTGAAAACTAGACTCGTTACCTGAAAGAATTTTGTCCACTGAATGGTCATTAATCTGTAGAATCGTGCTATCGCGCTGTATAATTAATGAATGCTCTTGAAGAGATTTCATCGGTGCGGTTGTCATGAAGAATAAATTCTCTTTTATAAGCGAAGGTATCGGTCGTTCTCTGCGATCTGCTTTACCCTCATTTCCTCTTTCTAAGCATCTTAGATGTAGTCGCAATTATTGTATCATATTCTTTTATTTCTATATGTAGTCGATCATTTATGGTGCGTTATGTACGCCACTCATCTGAACATTGTTTCCTTCCAGGTTTTATTTTAATAAATTTGGATGATGAATCCGAATACGAACTATATACGATTGCGCGGACTTCCGTTTGCCGCTAAAGAGCAGGATGTTCGAGACTTTCTCCAAGGTTTTCTAAAAAAAACCATTTTTTAGATATCAGTATTTGATTTCTTTGATGCACTTTTTTTCGGTTTGAATGCAAAGTCGATAACTTTCACGCTGACATGCAATGGTCGGGCAAGTGGAGAGTGTTATGTGGAGCTCGATGATCAGGAAGCTGTTAAAGAAGCTCAAAAACTTGATCGTAATGAAATAAATGGTCGCTACATTGAAGGTATGAACAAAATTGGCGAAATATTTTGTGCTGCGCTGTCCACTCAGCAAACAAAAACTTATAATTATGAATCATGATGGTCCGCCCTTCATGAGATCTTTGCAGTATTCAGCGTTAGTGATGCTGAGCTATTAATGATGATACGTCATAGTGTGATCAAAGGTAGTGGTGAAGATGTGGACAGTCGCTATGTTAGCAACTTAGTTGTCCGTCTTCGGGGTCTACCATATAGTGCAACGATCGGTGACATCAAGGATTTTTTTTCAGGTTTCTTTCTGCCAGCGCTAGATTTTGATCTAAGTCAAATAATTAGCTGCACTTTTTTATGTATCGCAGTTAAGAATTTTCAAGTTAACTGGAACTTTATTGTTTTTGCGAAAATAAGCTAGATATAATTTCCATGTCCTTATACAGCTGATAGTCAGAGTTATATGTCATCCTCGAACAGAATTAAAGGACCGATAAGTAGTTTGGTATGAGAGTGGCTTTGGTAATATGGTTTAATGGGAATATAGGCCTGGAAGTAGCGGATGTGATAATCGACAAAGAACCGGGGGGTCGACCTTCGGGGGAGGCATTCGTACGGTTGGCAACCAAAGAATACGCGGAAATGGCTTTGGAAAGAAGCAAAAACTACATGGGTTCAAGGTATGGGAATTCTGCTGGGGAATTTGCAAATTTTCAATTCTGGGCAGGTAAAATTTGTGTTTGTTGATAGGGTCGGAACTAAATAGTGGCCGTTTGGCTACTAGGGATCCAGCGTGATTTTTGTTTACCGTAAGTTTTTTTACAGTATGACAAATTTATTATTGAATATTAGTGTTTGTTTCGCAGAAATTGAAGTTATTCAAACTTTAATTTCATGAAATTTAAGAAAAGAAGGCGAAGTATTTTTGACTCATGAAATACGAGCTGCTTCTACAATGATTATTTTAGATATATTGAAGTTTTCCGTAGTTCAGCAGGCGAAATGGACAATAGCTTTTACGCTGCACGGGGTATGCTACCACCAACTAGTGGACCAGTCCCACTACGTGGAATAAGTCCGACACTTGACTTTCGATTTCGAGACAGGTGTTTCTGCTAATTTTCCGTAACTCTTTTTAATTAAAAATAAAAGCACTGCACTGTCATTATTTGTCATTATTTGCAATTCATCAGATTTGTTGATAGAGTTAACCAAGTGTGATTTAGTTTTCCCGAAGCTTCTGTGATACGTCGAATAACTTTGTCAAAAAGTAAAAAACAAAGTTTGTAGATATGCAGATTATGGTCGCTACAGTGGACCAATAAGACTTTCAAGCCTACATCCACGTTCATCGCCGTATGATCGTCCGTATTACGATAGGGATCGTTATTACCGTTATGGTGCACGATATGATCCAGAATTTGATGAAACAATGTGTGACCCTACCGTTAAGGTTTTCATGCGAGGTAACTCTTTTGTTAAATATTTTATGAAATTTGCAAAGATAAACAATTTGTGAAATTTCAATATTATAGAAGTCCATTAATTCCATATACAAATTGTATCAACCAAGATTTATTCGCAAGCCAAGTATTCTATATTTTTTTGCTTGTATTTATTATTATTATCATTATTATTGATTTTGTTATTATTATTTTTATTATTAATTGCTATTATTATTGTTAATTGATATTACAGTTATTGTCATTATTATTATTAATCATAACTGTTATTAGTTATTAATAAGATACATTTTGAGGGTTACCATACAGTGTCAGTATGTTCGATATTGAAGAGTTTTTCCGACCTTTGAATTGCGTAGAAATTAAGCTTGGTTATAACGAAGAGCGTCGTCTTTCGGGTGATGCGATGGTGACTTTTTCAACAATGGCGGAAGCACGAGAGGCACTGTCACGTAACAAAAACAATATGGGTACGAGGTAATCAATGGAGAACATTTTATCGTGAGCATTGTTTGATGATGTTATGGATTTTCAGGACTGCTTTTAGTTGGCTTTTGTCTGACTATTTTTGCCTTAAATCATATGTTAAAGAAATGCCTGTTTTAATCGAACTTGTATTACTGGACAAAAACGGGTCTTAGCGGTCGAATTCAAATTATGTGAGAAATGCATTTGTTATGCAATGTCGGTGGTTAAGCTCAGATTTCAAAAAAGAAACTGATTAGGTAATGGTCAGTTCAGATAGCGAATTTTATGATGGATTGAAGTATTTGGCCGCTTCCAATGGATGCGCTATTTTTTGAAACGAAGATGAAAAGTCAAATAAGTCATTTCAAATAAACACGAAGGCTTCGAAAAGCTTTGAATGTTTTTGTAATTACTTTTTTAGAATTAGGCGAAAACGCACGAGAATTTCTGAAAACACCAAAATATTATTACGAAAGAGAAGAGCAATGAAGAAGGAGAATCAAATGATTATGCTGCTTAATGCAAACAAATACGAACGCAGATAAGGTATTTTAAAGAATTCAGGCGTTTGAAAAAAGAGAAAAGATCGCAAGAAAACACTAATAACATGAAAACACTAATAACAAGAGGAAACTGATTTGAAAGATTTCGAACGAGAAGTAGAAGAAGAGTTGTTCGAATGAAATACTGCGAAAAAGGATGTGATATCATCGAATGGAAATAGGGCAACATAATATAGGAAAGACAATGAAACAGGTAAGTGTTGAGTAGGGCTTGCTTGTTGGGAAAGCTGGGGAACATTCATTAAATCGCTTGTCTACCGCAGAAGCTTTTGAGAAAATGAAGCGTCTGGAGGTATATAATATTATGAAAGAAATGTCTGCTGCAAATAGAATCTTTAAAATAATGGTAGATAGATGGCAAAGATTAAGAGTGAGAAGGTTGTGCAGGCAAATAATGAAAAATGTGCAGAAAAAGAAAGTGTAGCAGGAACCATCAAGCATCACTGGATGGAAAAATGAATGCGGATAAAGGGCAGGTATAGAGTATAGAAAATCGCTCGACTCTCAATCGGTGCCTTTGGATGAAGAAATTTTTTAGGAGATAACCCATTGTTGTCGCTTACTGGACACAGTTGCGCGGAAGGACAGAAGTAGGCAATAAATATTGGAATTACAATATACCTGGATTTCAGACATCTATAATTAAAGCAGACAGAAATTTGAAGATCTACAGTCTGAAAAATTGGTCTTGAGGAACAATTTTTTACCAGCGATATTTTCAAATATCGCTTAGTATTATAACCAATGCTACTAATACTACTACTCCACTTAGTTCCAAAGTAATCGTGCTAAAAATAATTTTACTCGAGGTTCAAGCTTTCGAAGCTTAATTTTATACTTAAATCGTTCAAGATTGTTGGTCCTTTCCAGGCTGATTGTGCTTGGTATGCACTAATCAAAAGAAGAATAAATACAACGACATGTGTGTCTTCGTTTTCGGTTTCTTATATACGCATATTTCTTTAAATATTTATCCATGCCGAATTTTTCGTTCTGGTTTTTGAATCCTTATTTTCTATTTCATAATTATCTTTTTTTTCCAGATACATAGAGTTATTTCTGGCAACAAATATTCCTCATCCGATTAAAACAGTAACATTCCGCACAGTAAGTGGAGCACCTACCCATCTAACAGCAGGTCCTCGTTCGCTGTATAGTTCTTTTACTGAAGGTAATGTCTTCATTACCTGCGTAAAATTTCATTTATTGGTTATCTTTAATGCTTAATATAAATAAGTATCACAAACTGCTATTAAGGAAGACTTGTTTTTTTTTTATTTTTTTAAGGAAGCGAAGGAACGAAAATTGTCATTTCTCTCTGCAATATTCTGGTTAAATTTTTTCCATTTTTTAGATGAAGAAGCTGCTTATTCAAGTAGAGTTGGTAGACAGCAGGTGACTTTTCTGAGATTCGCTTGGTCATTCTTCATGTTTGGATCTAAATTATTGGCAAAAGTTTTTTTGAACAGTTTTTAAAATATTTCGACATTGTTATTAGTATCCCATAAGTTGAACTGGAAAGAATCATAGATTCTTTTTACTTTTACATTATTATTGTAAGTTTTTTGCAGTATTACAATGATCAGTACGAAGGTCGTCAGACAAAATATGGTCGTGATTGGGGTGAACCAGCACGTACAACTTGGTGATGTGTTAAAAAATATGAAATGTAGTTTGATTTGGGAAAGTCGTTAGAACAGTTTTGCTTCCACTAATTATTATATTGGGGTCATACCTGAAAAAGAAGTTATTTTCTATTTCATTTCTGAGCATCCTTATTGTTTGCAGCATTTTTCTCGGGAAGCTTTGTTATGCTGTTCTAACGAACAGTGCTCATTAGCTAATTTATTTTATTTTAATTATATTTTGAGTTCTTACTGACTGTGGAAAAGATAATGTTATTGTCATCATAAAACTGTTTCCATATACTTACTCCGAAATTCGCATAAAATTTTTTCCACAGTCTTGTTTGCACTTTGCTCAATCTTCTCTTACGATTTTTGTCCCATTTGACATTATTTTCAAAGATGTTGTTG